TTTTTAAACAGGTAATATCAATACATTCACAAGGTTCAAAATTGAAGAAGTATGAACCTCATGAGGTAGGTATTAATATTCCCCTCATTTTACAGAAGAAAATGAGACAAAAGAGAGTAACTGACTTCCCAAGAATCGTAGTCATAGTTCGAATCCTCACAACTGCATGCAAACGATCCCTGTGGTCTTCCCTTCCCTCCCATCTGTCCTCATGGCCCACAGTCCCTGTGATGGGTGGCCTGCCTTGTAAGCTCTCTGAGTGTCCTAAGCTTTGCTCTGGAGCCTAGCTATCTGTCAGGGCTCAACTCTGACAAACTCATATTCTGATGTCCCTATTTTGGTAAGGCCTACTGTGCTCCATATTCTAAGGATATATCGTAATATGCTAGTCTGTTGGGATGGGAAGGGACCTCACTTTCTGTTTCTTAAAAAAAAGAAACAGCATTCCCTCTACTTGGAACGCTAGCCACAAGCTTTCCATGCACGCTCCATCTTGTTCTTTAGCTCTCAGTTTAATCATCACCTCTTGGGCACCTGCTAATGTTTATCAAATGCACATACCCTTTTGTTTTCCCTTTTTCTTTAGAGGCGTGGTCTCACTCTGTTGCTCCGGCTGAATTCAAACTCCTGGGCTCAAGTGATCCTACTGCCTCAGCCTCCTGAGTAGCTGAGACTACAGGCATATGTCACCATGCCCAGCTAAATGCAGGTACCCTTTAATTTGGCAATTGTACCTCTATGAATTTATTCTACAGATGAGCATGTGTGCAACATGGCATTGGTACGAGCTTACAGCACTGTCTAGATTAGCAAGACTGATGAGAACCCAAATGTCCATCAATGGGGGACAGGGCTCATTAAATAAATCACGGTGTATGCGTGACATGGAACAACATGCAGTGGCAAAAAAGAACAAGGATGCCTTTTCTATATTGATCTAGAGTACTCTCCAAATATTTCTTTAATACATAATGGAAGCACAGATATGTGTGTGCCTCTATTTGTGTAGAGAAGGGGAGAAGGAGAAAATATATGCATATTTGTATATATAATATCTCTGGAATGGGAAACTGATCGGTTGTCTCTAGGAAGAGAGATCTGGGTGGTCTGGGGGGGGGCTCAGACTTTTCCTGTATGTCCTTTTTCTCCAATAGTTTCATTAAGGTATAATTCACATACAGTTCGCCTATATAAAGTATTCGATTTAATTGCTTTTAGTATATTCACAGAGTTGTGCAACTGTCACCACAGTCAATCTTAGAACATTATTATTACCCCAAAAAGAAACTCCCTGTTTCTCCTTAACCCCCCTCGACCCTGGGCAACCATTAACCTACTTTCTATTTCTACAGATTTGCATATTCTGGACATTTCTACAGATCGCATAAATGCAATCATAAAATATGTGGTTTTGTGTCTGCCTTCTTTTGCTTAGCATGTTTTCAAGGTTCATCCATGTAGTAGCATGTATTAATATTCCATTCCTTTATATGGCAATATTCCATTGTATGGATTTTTTTTTTTTTTTGAGACAGGTCTCCCTCTGTTGCCCTGGGTAGAGTGCAGTGGCATCATCACAGCTCACTGCAACCTCAAACTCC